TCCATTTATTTTTACAGTCTAACCCTGGCTGTTACCCTAAACCTAACCTAAACTCAGTTCATACTTTAGTCATGAACCTCACCCATAACCCAAAAACAGTGCCTCTTTTAGGGCCTTAGCTTTGGGCCCCATGAGCAGCAGTACTTGTTGGAAAAATGATCTTACAATGTATCAAATACAGGGCCACACACTATATCCATTTGGATATTCTCTTACTTCTCCTACAGTCTATAGTGGATACTCCCTGGACTCTCTTCAGACATTACTCAGTGTCTCCTAAGACTTCCTGTTGACTAAGACCCTACAGTTTTAGCAGCTGGATAAGTTGTGCTGCGGTTGTTTTCATTGTTCCATTCTTCTCTCACTCTAGACTTTCCTGCATGGTTAAAGCTCTCTTACAGCTCTCTATGCTGCCAGTTTCATTGTCTGCTGGTGTGTGTGTGTGTGTGTGTGTGTGTCTGTTCCCTCTGTGTGTGAGCACAGAGTTTGAAATTCCGTAGGAGTTTTGTTTTAATAGTGAAGGGTCCATCATAGCTTTCCAGTGGCCACCGCTTCAGGCATCCCCTTAAGGCTGCTTTGCATGGACACAGTTCACTTGCAGTTTTCACTTCAGTCTGTTTGTTCCACCTGGGCTCTGACTAAAGTCTGACTATGACATACCTAAACTCTTTTAGGAAACTTTGAAGTCAATTAAGTCTTCTCCTTCTTTGTAGCTTAGTGCAGATTTGTTTAAGTATTGGTAGCCAGAAATACACTAGCAGACAGTAGTCAAATGAGGTAAATATGATATTTAGAGGCAACACAATTCACAAAAACATCTATTACCAAAAAGCAATGTTCTTATGACTTATTATTGATTGCTTGAGACCCATTATTCAGATTTTCGAAGTCAGCAATAATTTGGGCAGCCATGCCATCTACTGCTGATGACCCAGCCTGTTTACGTAAGTCCTAAGTCAGAACAGATGTCCAGCTTTTAGCTCCCAATGCTTCCCCAACCTTCTTGAAGATATACACTGCTCAAAAAAATAAAGGGAACACTCAAATAACATATCCTAGATCTGAATGAATGAAATATTCTCATTGAATACTTTGTTCTGTACAAAGTTGAATGTGCTGACAACAAAATCACACAAAAATCATCAATGGAAATCAAATGTATTAACCAATGGAGGCCTGGATTTGGAGCCACACACAAAATTAAAGTGAAATGTTCACTTTATTTTTTTGAGCAGTATAATTCATTTTCCAGTAAGACTGTTGGTGGTGAACTTTGGGTTTTCATCAGCTGTAACTCATAATCATTGAAATGAACATAAATTAAATCTTCCAATATTGCAATATAAACCTTTAATAATTTACATTGCAATGTTTTGATATGCATGCATCCATTCTTGAACAAAGTTCAGCTGTATAAATTGAACTGAATTAAATTTGTTTTTTTGTTTTTTTTAATGTTTATTTTCATTTTCCTTTCCATGACTTTTAGATGTCAGGGAGAACTAAACGGTACTGAAACGGTGTGAGTACTGCCAATGAACAGGATGTAGGAAAAAAATAAACACCCGAACCCTTCCTCAGGCTGACTGAACTGAATTATTCCACCAACGATAGCCAAAGTATGTGAGCTATTCCAATGGAAAGCACCAGTAGCGTTTATTTCTTGTGGATGCCTTTTACACTTGATTTACCTTAAACATAGTCTACATTTCAGGAGAGAACCAACATTATTGCTGAGAATGCAGCATGTAACGTTTTTATTTGAAAACAAAAAATCTCTTCCCAGCTATAATCCTTTGCATTTATGACTACTATTTACATGACTTATGGTCTAATTAAAACTTAAGCATCTGTCACGAATAATATGCCTAAGCCTCCAGTAAAGCTGGGACGCTGTTTATGGCGGGAGCTATTTTGTCAGCTTGAAGAAGCAAAAAGACACCAGGCTTTTCCTTGGCTTAAAATGTGTTGAATGCAAATGCAGTTTATTACCAATTATGGGGTGAAAAAGTAAAATATCTTAAATAAAGCTTTTTTTATGATGAGGCACTGAAGGGAACAATTTTATTACAGCAGTTATTTCAGGTTGGAAGATTCTTAACTAAAGTGATGCCTTATATACTTTTATGCCAATGAGCCAAAAGTGTTTGAACCAACACTTCCACCAAAGCTGAAGTATTTCAGTGTTAATAAGAGCTCTTCTCGTATGATGTCTTATTGATGTCTTTAAAGTTATTTTGTAACTTTTAAGATTAAACTGTGTGGTTTGAAAATGGTTTATTTTGGAGGAAGAAACTGTTTAGCGACTGCAAATTTAGAAAATCTTCTGTGTTCACGAGGAAAGCAAAAAGAAACGAGAATCTGTTTTCCAAGTGAATAATTTGTTAAATCTTTCAATCTTCTTTGTTAATAATTGTGTAAAGAATGTGCTTGCCTGATTCTGTCTCATACCTACGTGTCTCCAAATTAACCTTACCAAGTTGCCTTTTTTTATTTTATTGGAGGCATGTTTAATGAAAAGCACAGCATGTCCAGACAGCCAGGATTAAGGGTGAAAACACAACCGGCTGTTCTCTTACTTAAAGATCCTTGTCTCTTTTCTTTCTCACTTGAATGCTGTGAATGGTTAGATGCTTAACATTGTGCAAATAAAAAAGAAAAGAGTTGGGCAGCCTTAGCCACATTTCCTGTGGAGAAAAACAATAAGGACTTTGTTCTGGATAGAAAAACAATATGGAGAATCTTTGAAATAGTTTTGTAAAAATGTGAGCAGACAACTTTGATTGTTTACAGTTTTGGCTTTTCAGGACTTTGCTATATTTAAAACAGTGGGACATTTCTTGTTTTGAGGTAAACCTACATTTATTATCACAGATAAATAAACAAAGCCCATCTCGTGGATGTCAAAGGCAAAAGCCCGTCATGTAGACGTCGCTAACTCTGTTTTGCTGCTTTCACATATGTGCTGTTTAAGTGAAGTTATCGGTTCAGTGTTGAAGAGCTGGCATTCTACACAAGTATGGGAAAGACTGCTGACTTAACAGTTGCTGAGTATACTTTCGCTTAAAGGGAAACCCACAAATGGTAACTGCTGAAGAAGCTGGCTGCTCAAACAGTGCTATAGGAAGTTGCATGGAAGAAAAAAGTGTGGCAGAAGAATGCGTAGAAGCCGAGGCCATTCAAGACTTTGGGGAAGCTTTAAATTGCCAGGACCACAGTTGGAGTCAACACTGACATACAGGACATGGGTTATTCTGTATCTGTTCAAGTCCTTGCGTCAGTATATATACAATACATATATACACATCAATATATAATTTAACTTCCATGATGTCACAGTGGATCATTGATTGGCAACTTTGAACTAAATCCAGACTATGGGGTTTTTATCAAGAAGATGAAAATGAGAAATAACAAAGCCAACAGTGTGAATGAGCTAAATCACAACTATGGCCACCTAATTCATGCAAAGTGACCTCTGGCCAAATATCAAATGCATGCGCTGAACGGTACATGGACATATTCTTCAGTTGATAGACTTTTCAGTATATTTTTTTTTTTTTTTTTTTGGTGTTGTGAAATATTAAAAATAGAGGTGGTAGATGTTATGATCTTAGTTTGTGAAGATTTATAAAATGTTGAGAAGACAAAGCAAAGACATTGTGAGATAATGTATAAGAAACATCCCATATGTACATTACAGTTCCAGGTTCTTGCTCAAATCAAAGTTTTGTTTATTTCCTTTAACTTCAGCTACAAAAAGATGGAGCTGGGATAATTTCTACGGGTTTCAATAAATACCATGATTGTAGTATAATGTTATTATAGATGAAAATTAAATTATTGTTTAATTATATTTAGCACTTTTAATTTCTGAGTCGTGCTGCAGCATATTCAAGCAGAAGGCTAAAGAGTAAAGAAACACAGGGGTGTTCAAACCCCCCAGATACCACCAAGTGCTACCTGAAGCATAAATAAGCTTCTGTCTGGATCTTTGCACTCTTCAAAATTGTCTAGTTTGCCTGTTTAATTGGTTATAAGCCTGTCAGATTTATTGTGTCTGAAGGTGCAATTGCTCTCGGCAGGGCAGCCAGAATAAAATCTTGAGAATTTATGTTTTATGTATAGAGTCAATACAGCAAACCTTTGCAATCAAACCCTTATCCACACATAAACGTTCTGAACTTCAAATAGCATAAGGCTAATTTAAACATCTTACAGTAACCTCCTTGCTAAAACAAAAAAAAGAAAAACGGTCTGAATGCAGATATATGTGTGTAATCTTTCCCTGACATGAAGGATTTAATATTGAAGACATTGTAAGTTTATTATGTTGGTGATGAAATTGTGAAAATTGTCGCTGCTGCCTACAAGAGCCTCCCATGATAATGGTGACATTGATGGTTAACTGGTAAATGTGATGAATACAATAAAGATAATAAAATACTTTGATGCTGTTGCATATTAGAAGTCAACATGTTGCAGAAAGTCAGAGGGCAGTTTGAAACTTTTTGTGTTGAAAGCAACATTTCTTTAATGTTCTGCTTGATGTATGTAGCAGAAAGGAATATGATTAGAAATTCTCCTTGCACTAATAGATGGTGTGTCATGTTTCTATTTTTTTTCTCTTAAGAGCTTTGATTTTATGTAGAAAAACCATGATAAAACTGTGATTGTGATGTTACTGCAGAAAATTATGATGTGACATTTTTTTATGTTATCCACTATTAATTCAAATTTGAAAAAGAAAATGGGAGTTCTCATTAGCTGTAAACCATATCAATTAAATTCGCATAATAAACACTTGAAATGTGTCCCTCTGAATGCAATGAATCGATTTAATACGCGAGCAACATTTTTCGAAGTGAGATGCTGAAAGAAATTACCTTTTTCACAATTATCTAAGTTATTGAGACATAGGGACAAAGATTAGAGAAACAATAGTTTTTAATTGTGGGTTGCACAGGCTCAGGAAAATAACAATTTGTAGTTTTTCTTAGGAATAAAAGAGTGGAATAAAACATATGGCAGAGAAACTTACAGCTGCAATCTTGTGGTGCATTGGAAAATCAAATGTAGTCTGCTTGCACTATTTGCAAGTTTTGAAAGCTTCATCTGTCTTCCCTCCTTTCTTTTCCCAGAATGCTCTGGACCACTGGGCATGGAGGGTGGCATAATCTCCAACCAACAGATAACAGCCTCCTCCACCCACCGTGCTCTCTTTGGCTTGCAGAAGTGGTACCCATACTTTGCACGCCTCAACAAGAAGGGCCTGGTCAACGCCTGGACGGCTGCCGAGAATGACAGATGGCCATGGATCCAGGTAAAGCACAGTGACAGGACGGCCAGCACGCAAAGCCAGCTCTGGGCTCGAGAAAACTAAATTAGGGCACTGGTGCAGTCTTAATTAAATACAGGCCCCTAGTTGGTTGTGTCTTTAAATAGTAAAGTTTTACTTGCATTTCATAGTTGACTCCACACTTACAAAGAACCATAAAAAGGGCAAAGTAGAGTGCAGAACAGATGCAGACGTCAATTATGAAAGTGAATGACTTGCTCAAACATTTTGACGTGGTCAAATAATTTTAATTACAAAATTAAGTTCAATCTAAATTCATTCTTGACTCCAATCTGAAAAAAGCCACTGCAATTTATGCGAATACCCTTATTTTCCTTGAAACAGTTCAGTTTTAACACTGAAGGCCCTGGCTGCCTGCAGTTATTATGTGAAGTACATACTGTAATTCATCGAGAGTGGTCAACCACGGTAACAGTCTGATATCTGAACTATATATACATATTGCCAAATCTAATCAGATCTTGTATGCTAATTTAAGTCTTCAATTCATAACTTTTTGAATTCTGAAACTTTTAGCCAGTTTGTATTGACCAAAAATTTTTTTTTTCCTTGAACAAGTATTGTCTTATTGTTGAAAATTATAAAATCATCTTGCAGTATCCTTTATGTTGTAACCCAAAAATCACATGGTATCTCCTCTGGTGAGGTGGGTGTAATGTCCCACCCCTAGACAACTCGCCTAAATGTGACATTTCACAAATCTAACTTATAAGTTATACCTCAATAACTTGATATTCTGGATAATAATTAGAGCTTAGCAAGGTTTTTAAGGTTAAAACTAAGACACTTAATATAGAAATATGATGAATTATTTTTTTAATGTGTGAAGTTTGCTCTGTAAATTAGTGGGTGATACATTTGATGTTTGATCCAAGTTCTAACAGTGTAATTTTCATGTTAAAATCACAACTTTTTTGCCTTTTGTATTGCAGCGTTTCAGTAACCTCCTACAGGGCTTTTATCTACAACAAGCATACAAATGTGAAAAGATATCCATATTTATTGCAAAACAAGCACTGATGTTTAAAATTCTTCTTTTTCTCTGGCTTTGTTAAAGTTAATATTCTTGCTGCGCTATTAGGCAGCCCTTATTTTCAAAGCACAAAATAGATCAATAGGACTTGCAAATAGCCTCCCTTGTTTGTGCCCTTTCCCAAGTCCAACCCTAAGATAGTTTGTGTTCATATGAAACAATGGTTTAAAGGAAATCGATGGAGTCTATGTCTACATAAGCAGTGTAAAGTCATATCTTCTTTTTCTGTTTGCTAGAGACTCAATTTTTGCACACTAACTTCAGAGTCATCAATGCATAACTTTTTGGGTTTGTGAAGCCTTTAGTTAGTTTGTGTAAATCAAAAAATGGGGATTCTTAGTCTTTTCAAAACCATTTCTAAATGTCGCCTTGTCTGTATGCCGTAATCCCAAAATAATGTAGCGTTTTTCATATTGCGAGCTGGATGTATTCTTACACCCCAATTAATCATACAAGAAGGATGGTAAATGTGACATTTGATTTCATGCACAAAATAACTTCTATTGTTTTCCAATTATGTCCAACGCATTAATAGTTTACATTATTTGTAATATAGAATATCAAATGTACAGTGATATATTCTTCTTTTTCTTGTTCTTAATTTTTACTATTGGTATTTATACTATTTGTTTTACTCTTAGTAGATCAAATAGTAACGCAGATAAATTGAATGCAGGGCAAAACAGGTTTATTTGATTTGCTCAATTTATATGCAACATAATTCAAAGTGCTTCATGGAAATATAAAGTAAGCAAGATTAATAAAAGTAAATTAAATATAGAAAACACATTTCACTAACATTTAGATGTTACATAAAATAGAAACATTAAAATGTAATGTCTTCCCTCCTAATCTGACATGAAGCTGTTGTACAGATCAAATGGTCAAATCCAAAGCAGCTCTTTGTGTGGTGGTATACGGTAAAAAGAGGCAAAAGTACATATTTTACCAAAGTAACAGATGATTTAGAAATATCTCACATCTCTCTTTCTCTGTCGTTCAAAATCAGACAGTTTTTCTATCTTGTCTTTTTCAGTAAGGAAAATAGTTCTTTGAAAAAATGGTTTGAAAATGTCAGCATGTCTAAAAAGAAATTGCATCACAGGTACATTCTGTACTTGATAAAGGTAAAAAAAAAAAAAAAACAACTTTTGAAGCAAATATCACTGATGTTAATCTTTCGATTTCAAAAGGATTGAATGGACAATCAGTGAAAAATCACTAACTTACTATCACACAGCTAAAACTCATAATTTTAAAACCAAAGTATATTTGCCAATCATTTTTCAGAGTTGTGATCTCCATCTTCGTAGATTCACAGTCAGGAACTAATAAATTAACTCTGACAGCAGCTGCACAATTCTCCAGACTCAGGAGTTTCTGACAGCATCACCAAAGTGACAGATTAGCCAGCGTTATCCTAAGTGATTTGTGCTTGAAAAACAAATTTAGGGGTTTTCTTCTTCACATAATAAGAAGGTAATTCCTTTGAATCAATCAAATGAAATTCATATTTTAAAGAATTATGCATTTTGTTTTATTTTATGAAAGCATAGTTCTGACAATGGAGCAAAGATAGGGAAGTGCGAATAAAACTATATTTAGCGCAAAATGTTTGAGTGGGATGGCATTTACAGATAAAACCATTAGCAAGTATGATCATGCCATGAAATAAAATAAAATTTTAAGTATTATATTAATCCAAAAAGGATAATTTCATCCGTAATAGCCACTACAAGTTCTGGTTACAATCCCATGACCAAACTCCAATTAAATATTTATAATAAAGCAACAGAGAAGGGGGAGAGACTTAGCTGTACAGGACACAGTGGTGGCAGCACTTAACACTGAGCGGAAAGCAGGAAAGCAAATCAAAACAGACATAGTAAGCAGTCAACAAGCTTCCATGTCAATACATACAATAAGAAAAATATAAAACTTTTGTTAAACAATATAAAAATTTCCACCACAATTTCAGGATCAAAACATATGCATTAAGTAATAGCAATTTCATTTATTTATTTATTTTTTTCTAATAGGAAATTAATTATTGTGTTAAGCTTTATTAGCTAATATTCATAAGAAATTTACCAGGACATCAAGGTGTCCAGAATGTACCTGCTCTTCTTAGATTAGCACCATCCCCATTTTCAACCCACAGACAGGTCAGTCCTCCATACAGAATAAAAAAAAAAAAAAAGCTGAAACAACACTTGAAATTTACTTGTGCTTCCCTGTTTAAATTTGTTTGCATATTTTAGCTAGATTGAAATTTTTTTGAATAACTTGCGATTAAAGCAAGTTTTGAATCAGGAAAACACTTTTCTTCAGATATGTGACAGACAATGAAAAGTAAAAGAAGGAGAAGAATGATAGGAAAGTGACAAAACAGCAGAATGGTGGGGAGAGATAAGCTACATGTAGCAACAGGAAATTAGGGGAAAAAAAATCAATATGCAAGATAAAAACAGAAAATCTGGCACTGTGAGAATAAAGGAGTATAAAACATTAATAATGCCACATATAAAACACAACGGTATGGACATTTTGTGTTTCTGTGGAAGGCGTGTGTAATTGAGACATGAGTGCAGAGGTTCACAGGCATGAAAATACACTGACATAAGGCTAAACAGTCAATGTTGTGTCTTTGTGGAGTGAACTGATGTAGGACATGCCAATACTGCCAGGTTACAACCCTGTCAGGTTTTATTAGATTTGCTTCTAGTTTGTTGTTTTTAGGATTTTTCTGATGCATCACCTTAAACCTTTTTACATTAGCTAATTCAAGATCCACTATCAGTTCTTCATCAGTTTTAAACCAAAGCAAAACATCATCATTTAACACATTATGGAGCTTTAGAGAAAATATACACTAAATATGCGTTTATTTTTGTTTTGTGGGTTTTTGATTTTTGTGTAGTTGCTAAAGGTTTACACACGTATGCAGTGAAGGAATGTGAGTTTTTTTTTTTTTTTTTTTAACAGCCTTGCCATATCCTGCTTGCAAAATTGCATTTGAACACTCAAGGGAAATATGCTGCCGGTCTCACCAATATCAGCAAGATATTGCTTCAGCCAGCTGTGTTGGAAAAATGAAACAATACAAATCACCTCTGACGGCTAAGCGGGTGTACACATATTTTGATGAAAGTTACATGGTTAAAGATAATGTTGGGATGCAGATCTCCGTTGGGTTTTGTTGTTTATTCAGATACATATGACTGGATTTACATAGTTGGGTTGATTGGTGTGAGACCAAAATCAGAAAAAAAATAATAATTTTGTGTTTATCCCACTCTTATTGTGCAGATTGTGTAAGTTTTAATGGTTGTTTCTTTCTACTGCTTTGCACTCATTAGGAAAGATGTTGCAATTATTTGAATCTGATACAAAAAAGAGATTTGGTTGATTATTAGTTTTACCATCTTGGTCAAATCATAGGGAAATCCTAAACAAAACTGACCAGGTCATACTTTACTAATATTTCACCCTCCTTTACGTGTTTTCTTTTCAGGCCATATAAAACTATTGCTGTTCAATTAAACAAATAAACTTGTGTGGCAACGTATAATTTTTTACTGTATATTTTATTGGTGTTTTATGAGATAAACCAACATAATATAAAACCTGTAAACATACCTCTGTGGTATGTCTCTTACAGTTTTGCACATCAAAAGTCAAATCAAACCAGTAGATAATGCAAAGTGCAATATGTTGCCACAACTATGAAACAAAACGCAACAGTGTGGGTCTTCTGCAGGTGCATCATGATAGGACAGGTTCTTGTTGTAAAAGAGAATTTGTTTCCAATTAACATATTTAAAAAAGGTAAAAAAAAAAATAAATAAAAAAAAAAAAATATATATATATTTTTTTTTTATTCAGATATATATATATATATATATATATATATATATATATATATATATAT